CAGACGATCGGTAAACATCCCTTCTCAGTGGTGGAGTACTTCTGTTCAGCGTTAGTCAGGACACGACTGGCATATTCGATAACTCCATTCCTCTGCTTTAGGACTGCGCCGATCCCGCAATAACTGGCGTCCGTTGCAACAGTGAGCATCTCTCCGACCCTGGGCAATTTGAGGGTCAGTTGCTGATCCAACATCCGCGCTTTGACACTCTCAAAAGCCTCATGTGCTTCTCCGGTCCATTCGAATTTCCGATTTTGCCCGAGCAAGTCGTACAGTGGCGCAGCGATCGTGTTGAAATCTTTAACCGGCCGTAGTACGCTGTTCGTCCCGGAAACTGCCGTAGAGATTGCTTTGAATTGGGAACAGCACAATCCTTCATCTATGACAATTTTTCGGGCAGTGAGCTAACTTCTCCCTGACCCACTTTATGCTCCAACAGTGTCACCGAACTCCGAGCGAGTTGTGTCTTGACTTCATTTATCCGCAGACCAGCCTCCCGGATCCGCTTCAATACAGCCTTCAAGTGAACTGCGTGCTCTGGTTCCAAGTTGCTGTACACAACGATATCGTCTCCGTACACGGCAACATTCCGACGTCCCTTCGTTACACGAAGCATCAAGCGCCGGAATGTGAATGGTGCCCCGGACAAACCAAACAGCATTCGTCTAAATTGATATTGTGTGTCCCCAACCGTAAACGCCGTTTTCTCACGGTACTCCTCCTTGATAGGTAGTTGCCAATATCCGGAAGCAAGTCGAACACAGTGATGTATCGGGAGTGCTGGAGGGAATCGAAAATATCTGCAACCGAAGGCACAACCACAACCCGATTTACGGTCAGTTCATTCAAACGCCGGAAATTCACGCAAAACCTATATTTTCCGTTCGCCTTACTTACAAGCACAACTGGGGAATAGTACGCACTACTGGCTTCTTCGATTATGCCATTCCTCAACATCTGAATCTGTTTATGGACCTCCTCCCGTAGATGGAGCGGCAACGGACGAGGGCCATAAGGTCGAAAGCGTTCCGACGACAGAGGAATTTCGTATTCAATCCACGGGCAGAAGCCAAACGGATCCTCATCGCCCGTAAACAGTTCGGAATATTCCTCAACAACGGCCCGTATTGACGAAACATTACAAGACGGAAGTTTTCGGACACAGCTCACGACAGCGCCTGGATAACCTTCAAGCTTGATTGCGCCATACTTTGTCACCAGCCTTCCCTGCTTTAGGTCAATCACGGAATCTGTGCCCTTGAGAAAATCAGCTCCCAATATTGTCTGTTCTACGTCTGGGCTGATCAGGAACTCATGCTGCACGGACTTGTCGCCTTGGCGTATCGAGTGCGTTGACAATCCCCCAATCTTCAGTCGACGCCCACCGACAGGTCTCACGACGAGCGCGCACGGTCTGCGTTCACCCTGGTTCCCTCTTTGCCTCAGCGGTACCCCTGCTCCTGTATCAATCAAACGTAACTCCTTTTTCCCGTCTACCTCGACAACGGCTTGTATGGTAGTTTGTGTCAGTGCGCAAATCGCGACCCACCCCGGAAAAGAGGAGTACTCTAAAGTTTTATTGTGTACAAGTGGTCGGTTACGGGGACACTGATTCTTCCAGTGGCCAGGCTTGCCAAAAATGTAGCACCGGCTGGTTCGAGCGTGCCTCCGAGATTCCGTCTTCATGGCTGCCAGCTGTTCGGCGAGTTGGTCCACTCTGGTCTGCAGTTCCTCCACTGATGAACCATCCCTCTTCTTCTGTGCCTGCAACGTGGCCAGTGGTGCCTCGTCCAGTTCCCGGGCCAGATGCACCAGTTCCTCCACTCAACTGGCCAGTTGCTCGTGCTAACCGCAACTGGGCACCAAGCGCCGGCTGCACACCTTCGACGAACTGGTCCGACAGCAACTGGTGTCGCGACACTCCGTCCAGCCCCGGCAAAGCGCGATCCAACAACTGCTGCAGACCGGCGAAGAACACGGTCGGGTCCGATCCGGGTGCCATCCTGGCCGTCTTGAACCGTCTCATAGCCTCCTGGCGGTCGGCCGCCGGGTCGAACTCCGCTGCAAGGAC